GGCTTAGTGGTGAGGAATTGCACTGCCCCTGAAAACCCACTGGAGGGCCAGCTATGGGTCAGTTCCAACTTGAGAGCACACAACAAGAACAGATTCATACCCAGAGCATTTTACCCCAAAGAACAGACTTTGAGCAACATAACTGCTCCTAAACAATCTGATACTTGTTTGAGTCAATCTGCATTTAGACATACTTTGTTCTTTGGCTGCACGTTCAAAGACAAACTTTTTGTTGACTTCCATTCCGTGGCCTTTGTCGCCCTCATTGAGCTGTTGGTGGCATTTTTATTTGTTGCTCCTCTTCTTAACTTGACACCTACAGAAAAATGTAATGTAATGACCACATCTGTGTACAAAGCCATTTTCTAAAAAAAAAAAAACAACAAAACTCCACCCACAACTACCCATCCTTCTCTTCCACCTTGTTCCCTTCACCAAAGGGATGGGAAGGAATACTGGCTTGATTTCGGTCATGAGATGACGGGAAATCAAGTGATTTCATTTGACCAGACAGAGAAATCAAATTACCATTACAACTTCAGCCTTACACTGTGAGCCCTGCACCTAACCTTCATTAAATCTCTTTCTGCAGATAGTCAGCTTACTCTGATTGCGGGCGTATTCTGCGGCTTTGGGTGCTGTTAGCATGGCAAATGGGTGCAAAGAGAGGCGGAAGGCTGGAGGAACCTGGAAAGAAAACAGTCCTGCTTTTAGAAGTTGACACACTTTACATTAGTAAAATGTTATGGTCCTAGCACGGGAACTCTGGGGGCATAGTTCATAGGGAGTGGAGGTGCTAATTTCAAGGCTGTGTCTGCCTCTCTGGGGGTTTGGATCTGCCAGGAATTCCACCCAAGAAAGATTGCAATGTGTGATTCCCAGCCTCAAAACCCACTGGAGGGTCAGTTCTGACTTGAAGACAATGATGGTTATAGCACTCATCTGTTTAATGAACTCGTCTTCCAAAAAAGCTAGGAACTTTCTCTTGGCATGCTCCTATGCCATAAATGTTCTTACAGCACTTTTCCTCATGTGGTTGGTAACCTTTGACTAGAATGCCCTTTTACATACTAACACTATTTACCAAGTCTTCTGCACCTGGTAAACACATTTCCTCTTCTTTTGCTTGTAAAGGCGTGGAGTTTTCCTGGGCACTACTGCTCAGACCAGATCAGTTGGCACAGTGACTTCTGCAATGGGCTCGAGAGTGTCAGAAGTTAAGAAGATGGCACAGGATAGAACAGGGTTCAGGTCTGCTATTCATACAGTGAGTTGTACTCGACGGCACATATAACAACAAGAGCTCAAGTATCTCCTTACACTGATGCCCCCACTACAACCCCTTTATTCCACACTAACATTCCTCAGTCCAAGCTAGAATTCTTTCACTCTCTTACCTGTGACCTTAAAGCATAATAGCAGCATATAGCAAAGCCAGCATGTGAGAGTTCGTGATACCAACCCATCCTGCTGTTGCACTGCACAGACAATTCCTACAAGGCTAGGATGGTCCCTCAGTTACTGCAACAAATGTTTCCTGAGCACCTACCGTGGGTCCGACCCTGTTCTAGGTGGTGTGGTCTGTAAGCCAGGCAAGAGCCCTGTCTTCTGTGGCTATCAACAAAACCACTTTGTGCTTGTTCAAAACCCATGGTATTGTAAAATGATATTTTCCAAAACATTTTTATGTTTATGAAGAAAAACAGGCACATTTCATATGAGAGAAGTACTGATAAATCTAAGACTTGATTACTTGTAACTTGTAGTATCCTTCTTCCTTTAAAATGCAGACTTCCTAAATAAAGAAGATAATCCAATAGAAATGGTAATGACAAAAGAATCTAACAGGCACTTTATAGAAGAGAAAGAAATACATGCATTTCACAACTTTCCTATCAGTAATCAGGGGAATGCAAGTTAAAACCATAGTAAAAAACCACAAGACACTTAAAAGATTGCAAAAAAAAAAAAAAACTTTAAAAGCCTATAAGTGTCAAGTCTTAATAACAACTTACGATATAGTACAATGGTTAAGTGTCTTCTCCCATAAAAATTAGAACCCAGAAAACTTCTATTGTCACATGCGGCCACTGTGAATCAAGACAAACCTCCAAGGCAACTAACAACAGGTGTTAAATTGACTTATTTTATCCTAAGTTATTTCTGTCCTACGCTAACGGTACACAGGAACCTTTTCCACTGTGCAACAGGAGACAAATAGTAGATATCATCATCCAAAAAGCTGAGAGAGAACAATGCAGGAATAAATGGTGGTACATTCCTACAGTGGAATAATATATTCCGTGAAAATAAACTACCTCGTCTAGAACACAATGTCAGTCAGCTGATATTGAGCTTTTCTGGTAATTTTTTTCTTTTCTTTCCACTAGTCTATTTACAAAATTCAAATATAAATTCGAACAAATTATTTCAATTTCCCTCACCGCCATCAAATTGTACAATCCAATGATTAATCCCCTCTTCCCCCTGTACATCCCCGTCCCTCTGCTTCCTGCCTCTCCCATCCCTCCTGGACCTTTATACTCATTCTACTATGACGGTTTTATGCAATATTTATCCTTGTGGGACTGAGTTAGTTCACTCAGCATATGCTCTCCATTCCCTCCCAAGTTAGGTAATAATTTACAAAGTTATTGCTCCTGCGTGCTGCATAGTATTCCATTGTGTGAATAGACCATACTTTCTCAATCCATTTGTTTGTGGTTGGACATTTGGGCTGTTTCCAAATGGTGAATAAAGCTGCTGTGATTCTTAACACAGATGTAATCAATCTGATTCCTCTGTAGTCCATCAGGTAAGGTCCATGTGTATAGTCACCATTTGCATTTTTTATAAAAGGTGTTTGAAATGAATAAATCATTGTACAAAATTCTATCATTCTAACTCCAGCCTCAGACTTGTTACCAAGTCCATACTTTCTGACTACTGATCCTTCTTCCTTGTTCCCAAATTTTGCATTACAGTCACCAGTTATTAATTGATGAACTTTGATTGCATGTTCAATTGATTTCAGACTGCAAAAGTTGGTAGAAATCTTTCTTTCCTCCTCTTTGGCTTTAATTGTTGGTGCATGTATTTGAATGATAGTGGCATTGACAGGTTTTCCTTGTATGCATGTGGATAGTATCCTGTTCCTCAGAGCATTGTACTTCAGAATCTATCTAGAAATGGCCTTTTTACCATGAATGCAAACCCATTTCCCCTCATTTTTTCATTCCCAGCATAGTATAGCATAAGATTGTCTGATTCAAAGAGGCCCATGTCAATCCATCTCAGTTCTCCAAAGCCTAGAATGCCAGTATTTATGCATCCTATTTATTTTTCAACAATGTCTAATTTTCCTATATTCATACTTCATACATTCCATGTTCCAATTATTAGTGACTATTTGTAACTGTTCCTCATTTTTTAATTTTCCAATACGAAGGATCAGCCTCCAGTGCTGAGAGCTGGATAATGAATAAAGGTGATACTAGAAGAATCAATGCTTTTGAGTTGTGGTGCTAGATAAGAGCCTTGAACTGCTTAGAGAACAATCTGTCCTGGAGAAGCTGAAATCAGTTTGCTCCTTGGAGGTAAAGATTTTGAAGCTCTGCCTCACATACTTTGGGCATGATACCAGGAGGGACCAGTCCTTGGAGAAGGGCATCATGCTTGGAAGGGTAGAGGGTAGAGAGTGCAGAGAAGGAAACCCCTGGATAAGATGGATTGATGCCGTAGCTGTGGCAATGAGGCCAGGTGTGTTGGGTCAGGATAGAGCAAAGTTCAAAGCCATTGTTCACAGGGTTGCTATGGGTCATAGTTGACTCAATGGCACATAACAACAACAACTGCAGCACCATGAATGAATTTCAAAAGCAAAATGTGAGTGAAAAAGAAGTCCTAGACTAATATTCTTGCTATTATTCAATTTATGTAAAATTGTAAAAAAAAATTCAAAGCTAAATAATATCATAATTAAGGCTACTATGTGTAAAGCTGTAAAGAAATTTTTTTTTAATCTAATGCACTCTTAATTCAAGGCAGTGATGACCAGGCTCTTCTGGCATGGGACTAGAGAGAGTGCACTAGAGAGTTCTGCTGCTTTTATTTCATTTCAAATACCTGCTGAGTGTGTGTGTTTCTTTCCTTACTTGATCTTCATAGTTAAAACATATGTTCTTAGTCTTTGCTTAGACATGGCTGATATTGAAAGCAATTTTAAATCTCTTGTTGCTAAGATATGTCAGTATTGAACTTTGGTTTAAAGCATAGGTCCCTCTTCTTATCACGAAAACACGTGACTATTTATATACAATTTGGGCTTAGTCAGCATCACCAAGGGAAGATACAGGCAGATACTGAAGGTGCCTGGCAGTGCTGGGCTGCAGAGGCAGAAGAGGTGAGGAGGTGGCTGTTGCCCAGAGGTCAATCTGCTCTCTTGGTGGGTCTTGCCTACAACAGGAAGAAGGCTTGCAGCCTGAGCAGGATGAACATGGAAATTACATCAGCTAATAATAAAGGTTCCCCAGTGCCTGGCATTTTGTTTAACTTTGATGATATCACTGCATCCTAATTCTGTTAGGTTTCTCAATTTCAAAGGGTATCATGTGGTTGAGTAATCTTTATTATGCCTATTTATATGTGGAGCTCTGGTGTGGCATCCACTTCCTAAACAACATGCCTCTGGAAACTTTATGAACTTTGATAAATGTCCATTGTTATAGAAAGGCTTCAGGCCTTTTGTTCATAGGGTCACTATGAGTCGTGCTTGATTCGAAGGCAATCAACAACAACAACAACAGTGTCCCAATAGTGAAGAGTTTGGCTTCTAACACAAAGGCTCTCTCTTTGAAACCAGCCTGGACAAAAGACTTGACAAGCTGTTCCCATAAATAGTATAGCCTAGGAGATCCAGAATGTTGAGGGTAGGGCAGTTCCGCTGTTCTAGAGGGTTACTATGAATTGGAATTTACTCAACTACACTCAACAATAAATACACGGAAAGTGAAACTTATGCACTCACTCTCCTGAAGTCAGAACCAACTCATAGCTGACCCTCCCCTGGGCTTTCAGAGGCTGCAAATCACAAGAGAGGAAATGGCCTATTTTTCTCCCACGGAGCAGCTGGTGGATTCAAACTGCCTACCTTCGGGTCAGTAGTGCAACCCACCAGGCAACCAGAGCTCCCTAACTGAGGCCAAGAGATGTTAAAAGATTTGTCTAAGGCCAGAAAGCAGGCAAGTGACCAGACTTGCCCTGGACTCCAGTCGGCTTGCCTCTGAAAAGCAGGACCTGCACTTGGGATATGACTCAGGGTGCAGGTGGACGGAGGGAGGTCAGATATTGGGTGATGGTTTCAGGGGGAGAGAAGGAAAGTGGCCCCTCTGGTGCCCTCCACTCCCACCCTGGGCTTTTGCAGAAATGCTTAGTTTTACCTCTGGTGGCAAAGTCAGGAGGACCTGTACTACTAACCACAAGGTGGCGCCTCTCTCGCAGGTCTAATCCACCAGAGGCTCCAAGGGAGAAAGCAATGTACTCTGTCCCAGGGTTTGCAGCCTCCAAAAACCCACTGGAGGGTCCGCTTTGAGCCTGTTCCAACTGGGACAGTCCCTTTCTTCTCTTTCTCCAGTAAAAAAAGCTAAAGATTATTTCTAGTGCTTCCTTAATTTGTCGACAGGGATGCA